ATATTATTTTTCATGTCTGCGCATGTAGTTTTACAATTTCACTGGCAGCTGGAAGCCAGTAAGCTACTGTAAACCTTTTACAGTAAAGCTCCTATGAAGACTGCAAATTTCATTGTCTTTGCATCATTTCCAGTGACGTTACTCTAAATGGCATTTACAGAAAAACCTTCCCTTGCTGTAAATGTAATGGAATTGGAGTAGTGAAGATTTACTTTAAAACTTGCCTGTAGCTATGGTAGTGTCCTAGTATTCAATCAGCAGAAACAAGCTACAGTGAGACTTTTGGAGCCAATTTTTTGGGGAAGTACAATTTTTTTAATTTGCATTTTTCAACCCCAACTTTTTTGAAAAGTACTCTCATCCCAGATCATACTCTCTGAAACATATTTAAATCTTAATATGACCACAATTTACACAACAATCATCACATTGTGTTAAATAAGACTTAAAAATAGTGTGATGTAAGATATAGGGTGACTCAAGATTTCCAGAGAAAGTTGCACTCTGCTGGTCTTCCATATTTCAGAGATAGAAAATTAAAGTGACATACCCTCTGTTGTGCATTCATACAACGTGGAGCTGATTTATCATTATTGTGATTCAACTGAACTTCTAAAACAACGTTGCCATATCTTATTTATATATGTAACCAAAAAAGATGTATTGTACGGAGATATGAGGATGAGCTCTTCCTCCGAGCCTCCATATTTCTGTCAGTGCATCTGAAGAGGACAGCCTCGGCGCCAGGTTTCTGCAAGCTAGCTGGGAGCCAGATTTAGCTCACAGATCAATAAAGTATTCATACAGTACGGAGGGATGAGGACGGCATAAAAAGCCCCTTTTTGATGTATCGCTGCAGTTACGACGCTGAGTGCCTGGACTGTCAATGAGAAGGAAGAGGGGAAACACCACCGGAGGAGAACAGAATTAATGAAAGCTTCAAATGCTCTTGAGGTTAAGGCAATAATGTCACAGTGGTGCAGAAATTAAAAATTCAACATCAAAGTGATGGAATACATTTTTAATCTTGTGCTGTGGAGTTCAGTGTCTCTGGCTGAGGAACAGAATTTAAAAGCTTTAAGTTAGTTAAGGGTACACAAGAGAACGAAAGGCCAGCGAAAGAGGCTTTCTTGGTTCTTCGTGAGCCATCTTTGACTTTTGTGTCTTTAAAAGCTGAGATTTAAATCATCTTAATCGTATTCTAACATTTGCTCGACTAAAGGAAACCTCCTTCTCTCTGGTTTGCACGAAAGCTCACAAAACTCTCGCCTCCATGTAGTTCAGAGTGCAGCAGCTCGGCTTCTTTCTGGTTTTAGCAGATGGTGTCACATCACCACAATCCTGGCTTCTCTCCACTGGCTCGAAAATGGGTTTGAAAATTGAAAAGATTGTTTTCAAAGCATGTCTGGGTCTAACTTATCCATAACAGAATGAACATAAAAACAAAGAGGACCATGAGGTGTAAAAGTAATACTGACAGCTGATAAAGGAGGGTTAATGTTTCCTTTATTAGCTCATTTAGCAGAGGATACACTAGACCAGCGGTCCCCAATCCCCGGGCCTCGGACTGGTACCGGAGAGTTGAGGTTCAGGTGTGAAATGTATAGTTTTCAGGGTTTTTATCGGTTTTCAGCGTTATTTTGTTATCGTTTTTATCGTTAACTCGGTTTTCCTGGGTCTTTTCACGTGTGTTATGAATAAATCTTCTTTTTTTTGGTACCGGTACTAGTTTTATTTTGTTGTATTTATCCGCGACACCTTAAAGGCCGGTCCGTGAAAATATTGTCGGGCATAAACCGGTCCGTGGCGCAAAAAAGGTTGGCGACCACTGCTCTAGACCATCCTTTATGAAAGGAAAGGAGATAATGTCACCCCGCAGTTGATGGCAATGCACCATCACACAAAACAACATGAATGACAAGCAGTGCACATCATGTAAATGTTAATTATAAGTGTGCTTGCCATTGTCTGCCATAAGCTGCTGATATGTTTTGAACCTCAACAACAGGCTGTTGAACCCACAGCTGAACTCTGAGCATCACTGTGGTGATAAAATCTGCTTTTCTATTTAGTTGTTACTTTAGTTGTTACTTTATTGCCAGATTTTAGGGTTTTTAAACGCCATGACAACAAACATCAATCATCAGTGTGAAGGTTGACCTCTAAATTCAGATTCAAGTAAAAGCACTAAAAAAGAAAATAAACAAACCAACAAAACAATAATTTTAACCTATTAAAAGTTAAATATCAAGAGTGTTTGGTACCAGTACCAGTATAACATGCTGTACATGCACATTCTGAGCGATAGTCTAATCACTTCTGTATCTAATGCACATAACCACTTTTAACATGCATGGATTTAGAAACAGCATTAGCGTTCGCGTGCTCTTTTTCTTCGTTTTTTTAATTCTTGCATTTAAACAGAACAAAGGTCCAGAAACAACCAGAAGAAAAGTGTTGGCTGCAGTGGCCTATTTAGAAGAATACCATGTAGTCAAGCTGTGTTTTTTCTTTAAGTGTCAGGTTGCCCACAGAGGAGCATCCTTCCTGCATTAGCACTGAAAGATTTTCCGAGATCTCTCTTCTGGGATACAAGAAGCAGCGGTAAACAGCAGCAGTAGAAGCCTAAAAAAGCTTTGCCAAGGGCAGACTGATGGCTAAAACCTCTGCTCGAAACCTTTTCTCTGGTTTCTTTATTGAAAGAGATCAAAGTTTTCAAAGTATGTTAATTTAAATAGATCAGATCGGAAGGGCTATGAAGGCAACATCATTTTACTTTGATCTCTTTTATGTATACATGTGTTTAATTGTTGGAGGTCTTACTGTCTGAACTGCATTTATACAAACACAGTCATTAAGTATTCATTATGTATCATGATACAGAAAAATACACAAACTTAAGGATTACTGTAAGAAAGGAAAGAAGTACCAGTGTTCGTTTGATTACAACATTTTACACTTTATATATTTTTCTTGGACTCTAATAAATGAGCTTTGCATGATTCCTCGATCAATATAATCTTTTTTTGATTTAAAGTGGACCTCAGTCAGTGCCAGAGATGGGCAGTAACGTGTTACTTGTAACGCGTTACTGTAATCCGATTACTTTTTTCAAGTAACGAGTAAAGTAAGGGATTACTATTGCAAAAACGGTAATTAGATTACCGTTACTTTCCCGTAGGAACGCTGCGTTACTGCGTTACTAAAACGGTGATTTTTTTGCGAGAATGTCTCATGACAGTGACGTAAGCGAGTGCGACGTTCGTGACAACAGCTGTGTGCAGATCAACAATGAATCATATATCGAGTGCAGAGAGAGTATGAGCGTGCAGCGTTTAAAGCGTGGAAGTACTGACCTTACTTTGAGTTTGATTCCATAAAAAGTGACAAAAACATTAGTGTCCGTTGTGCGTGGGAAGAAAACTTCTTTTTACAGCGAAAAAAACCCCTAAACTTCCAAACAAGCACCGAGTAGCTACGACGTAATGGGAAACTCACAGAGAAACTCGCGGATTCTTCCACTGACCGCAGCACACCTGCACCAGGGTAAACCTCCGCCTACCCCACTCCTGCTTTACAGGTGAAAATAGAGCAACAGGACCGCTAGTCTTTGACTTTATTTATTTTCTGCTGTGTTTTACTTGCATCTATTTGAAAGACTGAGTGTAAACACACAAAATATTTTATTTTATGTGCTGAAATGTGCAGAAAATATGTTTAAATGTTAAACTAATTTCTTCCAGTCAGAGAATGTTGCAGATAATTAAATTTTTGCTTGATGTATAAAGTTAAAAGATTAAAACTAATAAAACAAGTTTTAAAAAGAGACTTTTCCATTTGATTACATTTTGTATGATGATTATGCAGAAAAAGTAGAATTGGGCTGAAAGATGTATCGCTTTATCACCTATTCAGGTTGTAAATCGTGTTTTTAAAAAGTAACTAAGTAATTAAGTAACTAAGTATTTATTTACTTTTGAAAATAAGTAATCAGTAAAGTAACAGGATTACTTTTTGGGGGAAGTAATCAGTAATTAGTTACTGATTACTTTTTTCAAGTAACTTGACCAACACTGGTCAGTGCATCCTTTAATTTCATTCCAGTTTAGCTCCTCACCTTTAAACAAGCTCTCCTCTGATTGGCTGCCCCTCATAAACAGCAAGTTTGAACAGAAGGTGGGTGGAGCTTCTCTGCTCCAGCTACATGACAAATATATCACCTTCTAATGTAACATCTGCCATAAATTCATAATGTGAGGAATAAACTGAAACATTTCAAACAGGATCAAGCCCAGTGATTATAGCACCCATTCTCAGAGTTGTACTATTTAGCAAATGTTTTGAAAGGCATGTTGCATTTGTTGGGAGCTTTCTCTGTAGTAAACTAAGAGATTGTTGGTGCCGTGGAGAATATTCCTGGCTGCAGGAGGCTGTGTGCAGGAGTAAGACAAAATAACGAAGGAAACTGTGAGCCAGCGAAACAGAGAGGGAGGAATCGGCATGAAGAAAGAAAAAACAAGATCTTTCAGGCTTTGATTCACAGTACTTGTTCATATGATCAATGCCTCGCTAGTTTTGTTGACAATGAGAAAAATATAGAACATCACCACGAAACCAGAATAAATCAGCAGATTCCAGTCTGGATAAAAGCAGCGACGAACTGATGCATTATTTAAAACTCCTCTCTCCCCTACTGAAGTTTTTCTTTTTGCTGCTTCCAGAAACAGAAAAGTAACTGCAGTGTGTGTGTGTGTGTGTGTGTGTGTGTGTGTGTGAGAGAGAGAGAAAGAGAGAGAGACAATGCACTCCTCTATAGTGAGCTTTGATTTCTGCGTTGATGTTGCTCGCTGTCTCCCCTGGCAGGCTGCCATGTTTTCACTGTAAAAATAGATCTTTTCATCCAGAAGTTTTCTGTGTTTCATCTCATCGGTGCAGTTAAGAAGAAGTTATAAGTTAAAAACAGTTAACGATGGGCTGTTTTTCTTGTCCGTGTCTTTCAGGATGTCGATCGTCAGCATAGTTGCCAGGGAGATCTTGGACTCCCGTGGAAACCCCACTGTTGAAGTGGACCTGCGCACAGAAAAAGGTGACCGCTAAAGAGCCTGTCTGAAAATGTCACAGGAAGAAAATAACACAGTCTTTACCACCAGGAAAGCAGGTCACACTTACACTTACTAAGCTAAAAAATAAAAATAAAAATGCAGAGCTTGGTAGTTTGAAGCAGCTGTTTGGGACATCAAATCCCTTCAGCTGAGCAACTGCAGGGATTATTAAGAAATGACACAAGGCATAGGGAAAGCAGTCTAATATCTATCATATCAAAACCTTAATTCTTTCTCTCTTAATTAATTTTCCAGGTCTGTTCAGGGCTGCGGTGCCCAGCGGAGCATCCACAGGGATCTATGAGGCTCTGGAGCTCCGAGATGGAGACAAGAGCCGCTACAAGGGCAAAGGTATG